TGTGTGTGTGTGTTTTCCGGCTACTTGATATGGGGAGCGTACATGACCCCGATGTTGTTGTTTTTTTGTTTGCACTACGTCTGTTCGCACGCATTTATGTATCAATGCATCGCTTGTTGATTGAATTCGGGTTTTCCCTCTATTATTATTCTTTAGAACCTGGTGTAGGAATCTACAGAAGCGATATACCTAGTAGAAAGGGCAGCGCAAGCCGCTCACACCCCTCTTGTGTCTTTCCTTCTTTCATCTCCTGCACCTTGGCGAAGGGAATCTGAAACATATATATATATATATATATATATATTTCAGGTTGGGCAGTGAATTTTTATTTTGATTGATCTTGTGTTATTCAGCCCCTATCTGACGAAATCCTGGTACAAAGCATTACTACGTTGGTACGGAAGAGCACGCGGAACTAGGGTGATTGAGTATGACCACAATGCTGTTTCCTCTCACAGTGGCCTTCAGTTTCGTCGCCATCCTCACAGAGCCACTGTTGTGCGTCTCTGCCGCTGTGGGACGTCAGGACATTGAGGCGTGGGTGCCGCTTGATACCACCCTGGCAGTTGGTCGTGCGCACAGCGCCGTTTTGTTTGTGAATGCGTCGTTCCTCGTCGTTGGCGGGTGCACGGACCCGGGCTGTAATTTGCAGGTGAATGCGGTGGACACAATTGATCCCGGTCTGCAGACTGTCACAAGGCACGGTGAGCTCCCTATCATGCTGCAGATGCCGGTGCTCAGCACCCACTCACAGGCCATGTCGGTGCCGCTTCTTGTAGCAGGCCCCACCACACTCGTGCGCGTCGACGGCACGGACGACGAGGACTGGGCACTCTACGTGGTCGGCGCGTGCAGCTACTACCTGCCAGAGCATCAGGGATCGCCCCAGTCAAGTCTCGTGCGGCAGAAGTATTCGGGCATTTGGCGTCTCTCAAATGATCTGACGCGTGTCGAGGACCACTACAGCATCCACCCAGATCCATTGGTCGACAGACCGGTGGGGGAGATGGAGCCGCCGCTCTACCGCGCAAACGCCAGCTGCATTTCCAATAGGCATCTACTCTTAATTGTTGGTGGTGTAGACATCGACACGGGGAGGCCTCTCAGATCCGTAGACGTCTACAACACGAAGACACGACACTACACATCCGATGCCTTTCAGCTTAAGGTGGCTGTGCGGAATCCGCTCGTGGCTGTTGATAGTGAGCTTGTATACGTTGCAGGTGGCGAGATGCAAGTCATGGTAGACGCAACAGAGTCACGTATGGAATCGGTCTGCAGGCGTTCAGCTCGCAACGTCCGTCACAACCTCTCGGGAAGCGGCGATTATCACACAACTTTTTGGTGTCCGTCCGTCGCCGTGCAAGCGATAACACTGAACATGAGAGCAGAAATCAACAACACAGAAACCAGTGAAAATTTCACTTGCCTTCACTCTGTTGGAAACTTGCCTGCCAATATGGAGCTCATTGGTAGCACTGGTAAAGAGGGTAACTTTCTTCTATCCAGCAAAAGACATCTATTCGCTTTCAATGGCAAGCTATGTGTGGTGCTGAACAGCAGCTTCGTGAACTGTCTGGACTTAGAGCAGCAGCTGAAGTGTCCTTGGTCCCTCGATTCAACGGACGATTGGCAACCGCTGTGTGGAACTGCATCCTTTCCACCCGTTGTCGCGTCATCGCCATTCGCGTTTCCACTTTCGGTTGGTGTTCTTGGCGCTGTATTGGCCTTCTTTGAGATTGGTGGATTCGAGAAGAATATGGAGGCCTCTGCGCGTGTGTTTTACCGAATAAGTAGCTTGGGCGTCACGAGTGTGCCGAATGTGAGTCCATTGGTGCAGAGCGGCAAGCCGCTGAGCCTCACACTCCACCCACCAAAGAATGGCTACGTGCGGCTCTCTGGAAGCCCTGCGTGCAGCGGAAATGCAGCAGGAACGCAGGATGTGCGCGTATTCAATCGCCCCGACGAAACAACCGCCGCCGTCTTCCTGCCCACCGCCGAGAACGAGCACGTGTACGTCTGTTTTGCCAACAGCCCAGTGGAGCTGTCGTGCAAGAACGATGACTGCTTTGCCCCCAACGCGCTTTCATACCTTTATAGCCCCATCACCTTCACGCCGTTTCGCATCCGCCACGACCTCAGTCCTTCCCACGGCGGCGGTAAAAGTGAACGTGGCATGCTTGGTGTGAGTGTCGTCCTTAGCTTAGTGGCTGGGTCCATCATTGTGACTATCAGCGCACTTATGTTTGTTCGCTTTGTGTGTAAAAATGAGGACAGGAGTGATTTCTCGGCATGTCTCCTCCTCCCTGAGGACGAGGACGGCTACAACAACAACAACAACGATGAGGGTGCTCAGCAGCTGCAGAAGAAGCCAGAACGCGATCGCAAATCCCCTCACTTGGAAGAACGCACCGCCACTGGTATCAACAGCATAGGCAACGGCCCCGCTTCCATCAGTCCACCAGCAGTGCGGCTGAACCCGAGGGCAGAGAAGGACTCTCTGGTGAAGAACACAACACACGGCTCACGTTACGAGGTGGTGCGGCGCATTGGGGAAGGGGCATTCTCGTCAGTGCACTTAGTGCGACGCAAGACCGATGGACAGCGGTTCGCACTCAAGTTTCTAGTATGCGCGGATAACAAGGAGCGATTAGATGCTATTCGGGAGTGTGAAACAATTAACTCGGTGCAGGGTCACCCCAACATCATCCGCCTCGTAGACATGTTTATGAACTACGAGTTTGGCGATAGCCAGACCGTGACAGAGCCTCTCCCTGGTGCACTGGCCACATCGCCATCGTCGGTATTAGCACCGCAGTGGGGTGCAGCAGCAGCAGCAGCAGCAGGCATGGTAAAGCATCAGGTCTTTGCCCCATACCAAAAGGCGGTAGTACCGGGTAAGCAACAACAGCAGTGGCAGCAGCAGCAAACCACACAAATGACACCTGTTGAGGTGTCATTGCCATTAAAGTTGGCACAGGAGGAATTGCCGCCTCCTTTGATGGCAGCATCCCTCAAGAACGTAAAGAACGTCCCTGCAAGCCGCAATCTGGCAAGACAGGGACAGGGGGCACAGCTCATGTTGAGTGAGGCAGATGCACAGCGACTAGCGTCAGAGATGGCATCCCGTCAGATACCGCAGCGCAATGCTTGGGTGACGGAATATGGAAACTATGAAGTTGAGGCTGTGAAGCAAGTATCCGATCCAAAGGCTCATCCTCCAGTGATCCCGGCAGCTTTGGAAGTACAACACCAACAACAGCCGCCGATGCGCACAAGCAACTCTCCATCGCTGCAGAACTTGAGCAGTAGTGCCCCCCAGCGATCAGGGCTGCACAGTCCAAATACTGCCAACATTACTACTAATGTGCCGGTGGTGGCGGTGCCACCGTTACAGATGAAGAACACGGTGCATTACTGCAACTTTGCGCATCCATCGTCCCAGCATCTGCTCCCATCCGTGCTAACAACAACAGCGCCACAGCAGCAAGTGGGAGGGGGACAGCAAGAAGGGTTGTTGATGCGCGAGCAGCGTACGTCGCAGGAGCGACGCCGTGTCATCCGCTACAAAGACTTTGACGCCACCTCGACCGCTACTGGTGGTGCCCTGTTTTCGCTGCCGTTTGCACAAAACACGACACAAGCCCCGTGTGTGGCCCCTGCGACGTATGCACCCATCCGATATGTGCAGCCTGCTGTGGAGAACATGCAGTACACCAACTTCGCTGCTGCCGGTTCAGGTACCAGCAACACATGTGGTGTGGCTGTAGTGAGGACTAAACCAAAATCCGTTGCAGATGCAGTGCGTGCTGCTCGTATGCCCAAGCCTAACAATGGTGAGACATGCGTCGTTGCGTCAATGGCAACGCCTGGTAGCACAGCCGCCACCGTCGTCAAGAATGATCCCATCTATACTACTGCAGCAGCAGCAGCAGCAGCGAATAGTCCACAGCCTTCGACCTTGCAGCAGCCTCAACACGAAGCGGAGGGCGCTAGGAAGGTCAACCCCTCGCCCAATGTCGCCTGTTTGAAAGACAAAACTCAAATAGCACAGCCGCAAGACTGTAAAAAAGATGCTGATAAGTCTTTGTTGAAGGTGGCACCTGGCGCTAAGTCGTCAGTGCTGGAACCGGTCATCAGGCGCCCGCTAGCGGCAGCCCATGGCGCCATCAACCCGGTAACAACCGGCACGTCTGAGAGCGGACCGGTGCACACACGCTTCTTGGGACTCGTTATGGAGTACCATCCAATGGGAGATCTGTGCGGTTACGTCCTGCGTCACTCAGCGAAGCACAACGCGGAGTTGCGGCGCCAGCTAGATGATGAGAGGGCGCGTATGGCAAGGGCGCGCGAGGAAATGGGCAGGAGAATGGAAGATGAGGCGGGAAGTTGGGTGCACTTCGTTCCTGATGATGATAGCAGCTTCTCCATTTTCCGCCCTGGCAAGTCAGTGAAGTGTTTCAGCCAAGACACGCACTGTCAGTCGTCGCTTGATCGCCTCAACGGCGCGTCGATTAACACCACGGCGGGGTCGTGCAGCTGCAGTAATGATGACATCAGAGGTAGCAACTGCGGTAGCCTCAGCAAGGAGGAGGAGGATAGCTTTATCATGCGTTCCAACGCCTTCACGGAGCCACAGCTGCAGTCGGTCGCCTACCAGCTCTCCATGGTGCTGCAGCACCTGCACTCACAGAAGCCACCCATCGTGCATCGCGACCTCAAGCCGGAGAACATTCTCATTCGTGGCGAACCGACCGACGACGACAGCGAAAGGCACCGCCATGGCAGCAGCGACGAGGGCGTCCAGGCGGAGCACCACAATGATCACCATCACCGCCACAGCAAGAACCATGAAGGTAATGAGGACGGTAGTGGTGCACCTTGGCACCGAAAGCTCCATAGCTCCTCACGCCAGCACGGATGCACGGTCAAACTAACACAAGACGTCATCCCCATTGTTGTAACGGACTTTGGCCTGGCGTTCGTGCAGGAGGATCGGCGCCGCACCGGTCGTGGAGGCGGCACACGGCCGTATATTGCCCCCGAATGTTGGAGCGGTCAGACAACCACCGCGAGTGATGTATGGAGCCTCGGTTGTGTGCTGTACGCCCTTGCCACGGCGCGTGTGACGGCGCAGACGGTACGTATCATGTACGAAGAGGCGAAGCGTGAGGGGTTTGCTGCAATGGTACTGAATGACATTTTAGGGGCAAACTACTCATTGGCATTTGCGAGCTTTGTCGTCTCGCTGCTTGTGGTGAACGCGAGTAAGCGCCCCACTGCGGCGATGGCGATGCAGTGCTTCATGGTCGAGGACGGTGTTGTGCGGTTTAACCCCAACTGCCCCTTCTTCAGCAACGTGCTCGATCTGTAACTCACGGAGTGAAGAGTACAGTATAGAGTGCAAGTAGTGGAAGCGATAGTAATAGTAGGGGCGGGGGAAGGGTGGAACTTCCCTCCCCATCTAGAGACGTCCTATGTCTGTGTTTTCGTGTATTCCGATGTGATGTGTGTGTACGGCCCTCACTCCGGGTGGTGGGGAGGGCTTCGTGCGTGAAGTAAGTTCGAAGAGTGTTTGGGAGGGGGTAATTAAAGCCAAACAAGGAGAATAGAACCCAAAAAAAGTCGAATAAACACAAAAAAAAATTTACAATGCCTCGTTCGTGTGTGTCTGTGTCTGTGTCTGTGTTTTGTCTTATCTTGCTGTGTGTTGCGAAGAGAGAAGGGGGGGTGGGAGAGAAGAAAGGAGGGGGGTGAAAGGGAGTTAAAGAAGTGAATGTGTGTCCGGGATAAAGGGGGGGGGGGAAA